GGTTGCATTGCCGCAGCAAATGCATGGTTGCCCGCACCTGAGGCAACAAGTGTGAGGTCGTCAGCGTGCATGAGTGCGGAGGCAGAATAGATGCTGCCCATGCGGCGCAGCAAATCATCCACACAGTGGAGGAAGAGTTGGGGTCCCGGGACGCCGCCTTGCAGTACTCCGGCTGAGGTGAGTTGTTTCCGGGAGTGCTGTTCGCGAGTGCATACCCTAACATAGCGGCCCCGCAGGTAGTTGTGCAGCCAGCGTTTGGTTCGAGGGCCAAGGCGCGGAAGTCCGTCAAGCATGCCGGATAGTTTGCCATGGTCAATGGTGTCGACCGCAGTCGAAAAATCAATCAAAACTACGAGCGAGCGATGGTGACGAGGGTGGCGTGTGGGGGCGCCGCCTCCAGGGTGCTCATACTCCACAGTGCTGAACTCATTCAATCCACGGGTAATTTCATCGATAACAAGTGTCACCACGTCCGATGTAGAACGCGAAGGTGCAAATCCGAATTGACGTGGGTGGTGTGGCAATAACGCTGACAGACGGCGGTGAATCATTCTTTCGGTTAACTTGAATAAAACAGAGAGTGATTTGATAGGTCTGTAACTCTCTGGGCGGAATGGCCCTTCCCAAGGTTTGGAATGGGAATGGTGTCCACCGTATTCCAGGAGCCAGGCAGGCTGCCATTTGCGAAGGAGTCGTGGATCATCGTTCTAAGAGTGTGCCGCGCGCAACGGGCCCGGGACGGTGCAGGAACTCATTCAACATGTTGTCGTGGCCAGGGGCTGAGCCGAGCGAAGAGTCGCGGATGGTCACGTCAAGTTCATACGGCGTGAGAGGTCGATCCATTTCCCAGTCACCAGGGGGCAATGAAGTGCGGCGAGCAGCAGCAGCAGCAGCAGTATAGGGTAATGTGGCACGTGAAACCCGCACAAAATGATGGACGAGCAGATTTGCCTGTTGCCGAGGCAGAGCACAGACGCGGTCCGAAGATCAGTTCGGAGCACAACCGATTCCAGTGGATGAGGGTGCGGCGCCGCCACGCCGCGGAGGTATCGCCAGCTTGGGCTGGATGAGGCCCCAAGTTTTTCCACACGGGCTTCCAGAAGCATAGCGAAGCCACGGCGTAAGGCTTGATTTTAGTCCTCCACTTTTTGGATGAATTCGGCTCGAAGCAGGCTGTCTCCTGGTGAAGCGATGTGTGTGCTTTGTGTGCTGCTTCTGCGGCGGACTCGGCTTGTTCCATTTCGTTCGTCCAGATTGTTTTGGGCTGTCACGGCTGCCGCGCGGGATATGGCGCTCAGCTGCTCGTAAGATACCACTGCGAACGTCCAACCATGCGGACGCGGTGGCAAGGAGGGTTTCACACAACGAGGTGGAAGCAGGCCAGTCCGCTTTGCGCAGGGCAGAGGTGGCTTTCTCCCGTTGAGGCAGTGTGTTGGCTAGTCGCGGAATGCCATCATCCATCCCCGCCGAGTAAGATATTAAGCAGTGGTCGGAATCCATGTAGGGGGTGGATTGCCAGTGGGTGACACGTAGCACGCGATACGCAGCCACGTCAGGGGACGAGACATTACGATTTGTGCTCCGTGTTGCCTGCGCCGGGTCATTTGCCAGCCCAAAATCCATGTCAATTAGAGTAGAGGACAAATCCTCTCCTTCAGTCGTTGAGGGTAGGTGTCTGTCTCAGAGTCCATGATGTAAATTCAGGTCACCCGCGATAATCGCTGCGAGCTTAAGCGACGAATGGTAGTAATAAACGAAAATCTTTGAACGGTTGCTGTGGGAGGGTTGTAGAGATTCACCACGCAGATGCTGGGACGGCCCTGTGGAAACACACGGACAGCAATGGTCTCCAGGAGGTCTGTGCCAGGGAGCGTCAGGCGCTCGCACGGTGGAGAGTGGCGCACCGGAGTGGCAACGCCACCAGCTCGCCCAGTGTGGCCTGAAGAAAGCCATTATAGCCATATAGTTTTGCCGCTGTGGCAATTCGAGTATTTGTTTCCTGGAGAAGAACGATGACAGGTGGATGTTGCTCCAGTCGCACAGCAGATGCAATCTTTTTTACGGACGAGAGGTCTGCAATGTTGAGCTGCCAAATAGTGATGAAGCCATCCTCCTCGGTTTCAGGGTTCTTTTGTAATTCACCGCAACGGGTGATATCAACGGAATGACCGCAGCGAAACGGTCGTGCAGTTTTGTCCGACAGTCTGCAGGCAGACCGCTTCACCTCCCCACACCGGGCATGGCGTGGAACCTTCTCGAGGGGTGGAGTCGTCTTGTTCTCCGTCGTGCTAGCAGCAATGCAGCGCAGCGGAGTTCCTATATGCAACCAGAACCCCAGCACCGCGACAAGGTGCGACTTCACCGTTGGGGAACTTGGATAGTCGCAACGGATGGCGGTGTAGACGTTCCCAAGTCAGCCGGGGTTGGAATCCTGCTTTCATCCCTCAATTCATCGGAGATAATAGAAAACGCCATTATAAACTGCAGTACACGCCCATGCAGCTACAGGACGGAATCCCGCGCGCTGCTTCTAGCCCTGGAGAGGCTGATTATCCCTCGTATCCAGCACAGGCATAAAACCCTGCTTGTGGTTACAGACAGTCAGTCTCTTCTAGCGGCTCTAAACAACGGCCCGCTCAGTCAGACAGACTGGACGGAGGATCAGATCTGGCAGCGTCTCTTGACACTGACGTGTGCTGGCTGGTCTGTGCACCTGCAGTTTTGTTACGGACATTGTGGAATACATGCTAACGAGCTTGCAGATCAGCATGCGACGCAGACTATGGCAACTGGACAATACACGGAGCAAGCAATTGCACCTTTATGGCATACGGATCTGCTGACATGTTTTACTACCCTGCTCACCAATAAGTGGCGTAGTACGATTCGTCAAGACACTCATCGCTACTTGCTTTGCGGCACAAGGCCATCAGATCTCAGCGGCAAGGACCTGATCACTCAGGAAGTTCTCCACCGTCAAGAACTGGTTCACCTCGCAAGGGCAAGGTGCGGCGAATCTGAGCTCTGGGGCCGACTATACTGGGCTGTGAGAGATTGCACGAACCAATGCCGTTTCTGCAACATCTCATCGGAAGAGTCTGCATATATGCGCTCCAACAACGATCCGACTGCACCGGGGACGGACACTGTTCCCCCGTCGGCAAGGGAGGAAGACGTCTCTCCAGTAAGGAGACGAACCGTCACACGCCGTCGGAAGGAGAAATGTCCGTACTGCGATTCTATACTGACGGGATTCTCGAATCTCGTCAGTCACTGCCGGTCATTTCACCCGGAACATCCTCCACCGCTTCCCGAGCTCAAATGCGATTTCTGTGACATGGTTTTCCCCACACGGAGAAGCACCGCACAGCACAGAAGTCGCTGCGCACACAACCCAGACACCACTCGACATCTAAACAGAAGTGCCAGGAGGCGATCTCTGCTGCCGCAGGATCAGCCAGCTTCCACAAGCACGCCAATGGCCCGCAGGAAACCTTGCACCATCTGCTTCTAGAATGTCCAGGCACCTTGGCTGTGCGCCAACGGCTGGGCATTGAACAGGACCTCCGCCTCGGAAAGTTCTCTCAATGGCAGTTGCTTCATGGCAGCAAACTCATGTCGTTGCTCGACCACCTCCTCGGCACTCAGATGGCATTGTATGGCTAGACGCGCTGGTAAAAGTACGGAAAAAATAATAATGAGCATTCTCTCCACTATAGAGACGTGGTGCATCTTGCGATCCCGCTGGCGGCTCTCCCGTTCCACCGCTGTTTTTGCGCAACAATTCATCACCGTCATTTTTGTGATTTGGTCGGCTTCGTGTTGCGCTCCGGGTTCTCCTCCTTCGTCGCCTTGCGGTGTTTCCTTCGCCGTCCCTGGCACCTCTGACTCTCCCGTGACGGTTTGTTCCGAAGCCTGACTGCCCTGGGAGGTCCTCCCGCTACCAGCATGCACTCCACCTGCTGCCTGCTGAGATGCGTCGGGGCGTGGGGATGCTGTGCCTGCAGCGTGCCCTCCGCCCAAAGACTCCGGTCCACTTGCACGCATCTGAGCAGCAGACGCGCTGCCAGTGCCGGACGGATTGCAATTGTTACTTCGCAGTGGATCGCTGCTGGATTGATCCTGCCTCGTCGGAGCAGTGAGTGATCCTGCGGAGGTGGGACTATGGCCCTCACCCGCGGTGCTTTCTCCACCCTCCTCGTCTTCCTCCTCTTCCTGATTGCTATTGTCCTCAGAGTTCACATTCCCCTTTCGTCCAGAGCCACCGGCCACGGTCCCACATTCCGCAGCCATCACAGCCCGCGCGTGCTCAGCAGCCACCGCGCCATCACAAGCGGGCCGCACACACACACCGTCGCAGCAGCCGTCGAAAACACGCACGAGCAGCTGCGCATCACTGCAGAAGCCAACAGGACGCAGGGCAAACGGCCAGTCATCATCACGAATAGTGGAGTCGCCCAACGCTGTGGAGCCGACCTGCAAAAGCACAGAAAACAAAAGGAAAGACACAGCCGCTACACCACGCATAGCCACCGCACAGTCACAAATGGCAGCAGCCCAGCAGCAGCGGCAGCGCACACACACCATGAAGCAGTTGAAATCAGTGAAAGGGCAAAAACACACAAAGCCCCGCAGCAAGTAAACAGAGAAAACACACAAAACAATTAGAAACAAAACACAGGTAAACAAACAGAAATGAAGTAAAAAATGTAAAAACACAAAAAACAAGGAGCTGCACAGTATGGCTCCAGCGCGCACGCACCCATCCTCAAATGTGATTCCACGCAAACAGTTGTGTGCGTGTCATGCATATGAGTGTGTCTGGGATGCGTTCAACGTGACGGATACAGGGAGCGACAACGCGGAGCACACAGCAGGGCAGCGGAAGCAAATGAAGCAAAACACAATCATTATTTTCTATTGTTTAGTACATCGGACCACAGTGAACGCGCACAAATCCCGTGGTTGAGTGCTGGCACGCACAGCCCGCACACACCTCTTCAGCCCACAGCGGTGCACGCCAGCGCGGATGCGGCGAGCAGCAGCGGGGCACACACCCACGCAGAGCTGCTGAGGCTGCCGTCGATTTCGCGAAGAAGTGACGGTGCGCGGGTGGTCGTCGTGGTTGGTGTCTCTGTCGTAGTGGTCGTCGTACTTGGTGCCTCTGGCGCGGTGGTGGTTGTCGTGGTTGGTGCCATTGTTGTAGACGTCGTCGTGGTCGTCGCGGCAGGATCTTTGGCTTCCTGATCTTCTTTGCCTGCGAATGTATTCGTGCTACTCTGTAACCGTTTCTTATCGTCACTACCTTCTGCCTGTAACGTAACGGCCGCATCACCTGATATTGGTCCCGGAGCGGTCGTACCTGGTCCCCCTCCGTCATCTTCTTCTGCTTTCGTAGCCGGCTTAGTTTTTGGTGTAGTGGACAGCATCTTGGAGCCCTTTCCCTTCGTATCAACTTCAGTCTTCTCCCTACTCTCCTTCTTATTCTCTGCGGCGCCCACTGACGGGCAGCAGCACAGGGCGAGCACCAACAGGGCGCACAGCAGACGGCACGTCATCATCGTGAGTGTGGTCGTTCAGTGGTGTGGAGCTGATCTGCACAGTGAGGGACATGGAGAGCAACAGGGGAGACGAGAGGTGCGGCAGACACACACAGAGAGGGCACACCACATGAGGAGAGGGCAGCAGCCAGGCATGCACCGTACGCCGCACACCACGCACGACACACACTCCAATCCACGGCAACAGGCACACACACACACAGCCCTGCCGCAACACCAACACACAGATGGAGGAGGGAGAAGCAAACAGGAGCGGCACACAAGACTCCACCGCATGCACATACGGCGAGAGCGGTCCGTCGTGTCGGCACCCCTCACGGAGGGTACGCAAACACACAAGAATAGGCGCAGCTCGCACACAGCAACACAAAAGCAAAATAACTATAATAAAAAGGAGATCCCCGCACACCACGTGAATTGTTGGTCCATGGGAAGTGCAGCCAATATTCGTCACAAAAACAATTCAGTTGCCATCGGCCTTCGTTCATATTCAGCGCACACCACTTCATGCAGGCCTGGGAACCACAGCAGCAGCACCACACGCTAAAATAAGCGCAAGGAATGGAATAATGCAAGCAGCCATTTATTTGTGTTTCTGTTTAAATGCTGGCATATGTCCGCATGCGTTGTTTTGTTTTGCAGAGGGCAAACCTTCATGCCTGGGTCGTGTGTTGGGAGTTCTGCAGGGTGCACAATTTGTTTTTCTTTCCTCTTGTGAATGTTTCTTGTGTTGGTGCAGCCAACAATTCGGTTTGTGTTGTTCCTGCTTCCCTTTGGTAAAGTGTTGCAATAAAAAATAATCTTCTGGGCCGCTGGCCGAATCCTGAGTTTCTCAATAATAGAAACCATACAAGATAGAAATAAGTGAGGGATCAACGGAATAAGAGTGGGTTCACCGCATCCTCAAAGTTCAACACGAGGCAAATAAACGCATGTTTATATATACATACCATCCGTTAGCCACAATCGTGGCCCGCCCACTCTATTCGGATAGGATACATATATTTATTTATTAATTACGAGGTGGCAGACTTTTGGGGTCCTGCAGCCACAAGACACCGCCGCGTGGTGGGAACCAAAAGGGGGTGGGTGCGATGGTTAAAATAAAAATAAAAATTATCCGGCCGCTGTCGGCTCCCTAAAGTCGTGGCCTTCCCAAAACTCATACGGTAGAAAAGTGTCGTAAAGAAGTGTATATTCGTTCTATCAGGGTATATATATATATACATTCATTAAGGCAGCCAGCTCTCCCGCGATCATTCTCTACACAGGCTCCTAAAAGGGCTCAAACACACCCACAAGACTCCCAGCAAGAAAAAGGAAGCACGGCATGACTGACACGACTCAAAGTCATGTTTCTAAGACAATGCCTGGATGACTCTGTCGACGCCACACCCGCACCATATGCCATCAACTCCTCCACGGCAATAATCCTGCAGAGTGCGGAGAGGACGTTTCACGAGTACATTATTGGCGGAGCCAAACAACTGTACCGTCAGCAGAGGGCAGCGGTCGGCGGGGGAAAGTGAAGGTGGTGGGACTGTTGGGGAGGGTCGATGCGCAGTGTCCCTCACAAATACGAGGCGGGTGAAGTGAAACACACTCGTCTGAACGTCACCGGCCACCAAGATGCATTGCTCCCTGCCGTAAATATTGATGAGCTCGAGGCTGGAGCAACCACGCGCAGTGCGTAAAAGTGTCTTCCTGCACTGACGCTGCGATTCACATTAGACGGGCAACTTCAGAACAGTCGATCCCCAGCAGTAAAATGCAGCTGGCAGTGACGCTGTGGATTCTCGATTCCCCAGGCAACGGAGGGCGGAGAAGAAAACTGGTCTCCCCAGCTGCGCGGCATCCATCCATTCACTCTGTGCGCTCGGAGTGCCCCGCAGCTGCCTTGAGAGATGCAGCGGACAGACCTCCCTTATTTTCGCCTCGACCCGTCAACGAAGACTTTCGCGGAGGCGTCGACACACACCGAAGTCTCCCTCGTGCCCACCAAACAAAAGACACACCCGTTGAGCATCGTCACGTGCATCGACGGCCACGCAAATAAATATCCACCGCAACGCAAAGTGTTTCTTATTGGGCACAAAAAAAGAAAAACTGGAGGCGGCGGCCTGGACAACACAGACATCAAATCACACGCCAGGCAACGCTGAAATACATGCGAAAGAACCAACGCAGGACCAGCAGCACAAACACTCGAGACCTGCTGCGTGAACTCCTGGGTAAATGGATCAGCCTCAACGCATGGGGCACTAATTACGGCGGGTGACAGCGCGAAAGCCAACGGTTCCGCAAGGCCGGGAATTGTGAAGACGGCATTCAAACCCTCCCGGGATTCGTGTGCCGAGACACGCAAATAATCCGCCCCTCGGTGCAAGTCGTCACCATAATCCTCATCGCTCTCTTTGCCGTCATTCGTATTGTCACACTAAGAGCCGTTGAGGGAAGGTACAACTATGATGATTGTGACATCACACTGAATGAAACAACACAATGCCTCGAAGGGTGCCGAGTGCACGCATCCCGTCAGGCGGCGACACGGCGTACTATTAGCAATGTACGAAGCAAAGGCAACGAAACAGCTTTCATCCGCCATCTTAATCGCGTCCGGCGGGTGCGGCCTCTTCTGCTCGTTCCGCGCCTCGTCCCTCTCCAAGGCTCCAGCTGCCGCTGCCGTAGACCACGCTGCTGCCGCACTCACCCCCACAGAGAGACAAGGAAGTGTGTGGGTGTGTGCCGAGAACGCAGCGACTGTCATCGCCAGAGGAGGCCATCGCGGCACCGTCCGTCACGCGCCAGCACACACCGAGCAAAGCACACTCGGCAGTGCAAATACATTCTTGCAGAGCATTTTGCACGTACTTATGTGTGTGGGTGTCTGTTGGAGAAGCAGAAGAGAGAAGCACAGGGAGGCACATCAACACAGCAAGAGGCACAGCTGGATGGCAGCGATACATGCGGTACGGCCCAAACCTCAACAATCACAAACGGTGGCAGCACACCCATCCACAAAAACAAAAAAAAATGAAAATCTTAAAAACACGGCGGCAGAGTGTGGCTGTGTGTGTGTGGCGCTGCGGGTGTCTGCCCGCCCTGGCCGCAAAAAAAGCAAAACAAGAGGGAAAGAAATGTGTGCTCCGCCCCACAGGCCCTCGTCGCACGCCCACACGTCACGGCTCCCTCAGCGCGCCGTTCGTCGCGGCCCCTCCTCATGCGTGCAGCAGGCGAGGCGCACAGGGCCGTCGTCATGAGCGTGTCGGTGGGTGTGCGAGTGGAGCAGTTGGGCGGGAAGCACACGGCACCCCTCACAGGAAGAGTGCAGAAGAAACAATTAAAAGAGGGAAGAGTAGAAAAGAAAAAAACGTCCATAGTGATTGCCCCAAAAGCAAAAAAGGAGGGATGTGTGGAGTAAAAGATTAGTAAACAAAAGAAATAGAAAAAATTAAAGAAAATAAACAATTAAAGAATGAAAAAGAAAAACTCACAACGCCCCGAAGGAAGTAAAAAACAAGCAAAATGAACACAAAAAACAAGTAACAACAAAACAACAACATAAAAAAAAAAAAAAAAAAAAAGAAGTAAAAAAAAAAGTAAAAACACAAAAAACAAAACACAAGAGGCTGCAAAGAATGGCTCCAGCGTGCATGCATTCTCACACAAAAATGCGTCCACTCAAACAGTTGTGGGCGTGTCGTGCATATGAGTGTGTCTGGGATGCGTGCCAAGTGACGGATACAGGGAGCAACAACGCGGAGCACACAGCAACGCAGCTGAAGCAAATGAAGCAAAACACAATCATTATTTTCTCTTACTTATTACGCAATAAAACAAAAGAAGCTCAAAACATCCCGTGGTTGAGTGCGGGCTTTAATAGCCCGCATACAGTTCTTCAGCCCAGTGTCCCGTAGGTGAGTGCAGCCAGAACAAGCAGTGGCAGGGCATGCAGATGGGTGTCATGGAAGCAGGCGTCAGTTCCCACACTGTTCTCCAACGCGTTCTTTGTGGGCGCAGAGGAAAGAGGAGCCGGCATGCTTGCCGCCATATTATTTCCTTCGCCGGAAGCAGTCTCGGTGGTGGTGTTGGCGGCGTCCTCTTCGGCGCCTTCCGCTGCACCCCCGTCCTCGCCGGTCTGGGACAACTGAGTCGGTGGCGCAGCAGCAGTCTCTTCCTGCAGCTCCACTGGAGGGTCATGGGAGGAGTGGTCGCCGCCTTCTGTGGGCTTTGGATCTGGTGGGGATTCGGATGCAGCAGAAGCAGCAGAAGTAGAATGTGCAGCGCCTTGAGGATCACCAGCGGGAGCGGAATCCGGTGCTCGCGAGGCCTCAGGAGAAGGATCCGTCGTGGCCGCAGCGCCAGCAGCAGAGTTAGCACCAGCGCCGCCTGGAGTTGCAGGTGGTGGAGGAGGGGGGACATCCGCGGAATTCTCAACGACAGCAGGAGAAGATTCAGAATCTGTTGTAGAAGAGGAGTCACGAGAATCCTTGTGTTCTCGAGGCCCCGGAGGTCCTTCTTCCGGACGTGTGGCCGGAACACTTTCACCAGCGCCACCCAGAGCTCCAGCCAGTGAAGGGGCACCAGCGGAATCCGCAGCGTCAGCAGGAGGAGATTCCGAATCCGCTCTGGAAGAGGAGTCACGAGAATCATTGTCATCTGGAGAGCCCGGAGGTCCTTCCGGAGGTTTTGCTGTACCACTTGCAACGGTGACCGCCTTCGACTCAACTTTACGCTGCCACCAACTATTCACCTGGCTTGGAGTAAACGTGGAGACGTTGATTGTGAAGACACCACCGTTCGCACCATCTTTTATACGTCTCTGAACATCCTCGGGCTCACAGTTTCCGACGCCCATGCCGCAAATCATCTGCCCAAAACCAGCAGCTGCAGTCGTGCAGTTGTACCACAATGACGTCCCAGGGAGCTGCCAACGCGCAACATTACCGTCACCCGCACACTCTGCATTCACCTGCGCCACCTGCGGCTCATCCTCCACGGCAAACACGCACGAGCAGCAGCACAGCAGTGCCAGCACCAACACAACACAAAACACACGGTGCATCATCGTCAAAACTATCGTTGTTGAATAACGTGGATTCGATCTGCAGGAGCATGAGAAAGGAAGTAGAGAGAAACAGCAGCTACACCACGCACAGCCACCGCATGGTAATAAATGGCAGCAGCCAGAAGAAGCGCACACCAAAAAAGACAAATGGAATTATTACAACCGCAGAACTCGCACACCGACCCGCAAACCAGAACTTAAAAAAGCGGAAAAAACAAAAAAAGGAAAAAAAAAAAAATGATGGAGTCCAACAAAACCCCCAAAAATTAAAAAAAAATCAATCGGGCAGCACTCTTATTTCTTATGCCAAGCAGCACAAGACAACCGTGTGTGTTTCTGTATACATAATGCCTTCACCAAGAAAAGAGAAATCAAATAAAAAAAGATCGTACTGTTCCACCAGCCCACACAACATTCCTTCACACTTCATTGCGGCATCCGGCCTGTTCCTCCAATCCTCGTTTCGCGCGGTCCGTGGGACGCACAGCCGTGTGGGCAACAAAAGACAAAACAAAGAAGAGAAACACGTCCCTCATGACAGTGTGCAGCAACCGACCATTAAATAAAGGAACAGCAAGAATAATTATCATTCCAGGAAAACAAGAACAAAAAACAAAGTAAAATGTAGATAATAAAAGAAAACACGCATGCAACGCGGCAAATGTTCTCCGTGAGGAGTCGCAATTCCACACTCTTCGGCTCAGAAGACCGCCACAACTCCACACAATCCCAGAAGAAGCAGCAACGCCCAATACACGCACACACGCACAGTGCCGTCAACAGTTAACTCTCGCAGTGTCAATTTCGCGTCGTTGAGCAGGGCAAAGCAGTCGTCGGGAGTCACACCGTTTCCGGAATACTGCGCGGTGAATTCTCGCAATAGGGGTTTTCGTGTCCAGAGGCATTGCGTTGAGTCAATCCGTCCGCATCACCCTCAGCAACAAATCCACTGCCCGCAACGCCATTTTCTAAAACGAGAGATTTGTGTCCGGTGGCGTTGCGCTCATTCACCTCGTCCGTGTTATCCGCAGCAACGTGTTCCCTGCCGCCATAAGTGACAGACATGATCCCCGATACATTCAGAGCCACTAATATTCTCGGACCGTTGGCAAATGAAGGCCTCTTCTTGGATGCATTCGGAACCATCATTTCGCTCGAATTGGTGGCAAACTCAAGCTTTTTCTCGGACGTGTTGGTCGCCGTGTTGGATGCGGGACTCGGATCGACGGTGTTGGGTGCGTCAGCCGCCGCAGACTGTCGCCAATCCTCGAGTTGACGTGACGGCTCAGCATTAACTTGCGGCGCAGTTGTCCCACCAGATTTTGTGTCATCCTTCCCTTCACGGGGTGGCGGCAACTGACAGATGCCCGTCTGCTCAGCATCGCTGCTCCGTGCAGGCGGATGGATGGTTCCATCGGGAGAATATTGACGCCACCGCAATTCATAAGGGCCAGCGTATTTATGTGTCGTCACGTCCATCGTGAAGGCAACGGTGACCCCTTCCTCTTTCGCTGCACAGCTGGC